CCAGAATCAGGATCTGTGTCGGCTGCTCAGGATCCAGCTTAGTGTGTTTGTCTGATCCTGCAGCTCACAGGAAGTTGCTCCACCTACAGCAGCATAGATAACCTGTGCAGTGATGTCTCTGCAGGCAGGACGTAGATGTGCTAACAGGAGAAAATGAATTCTGTTTTTTTCCCCAGTGTCTTTTTCTAAAATCTACATTGTTAATGATGATTGGTTTTAAAAATCTTCCACTGAGACAAAAGCAGCCATAAATGTAGATCCTCTATATGTTGATCACGTCTCTGTGTCAGTGTAAGACTTTAGTGCAGCCTCTCTGGTTCACTGCAGTCTTTGTCTCTGTGTTTCTGTCAGGTGTTCACATTGTCCAGATGATGTGCAGCTGTGAATGGGATGAAACAGGTGAAGTGAAAGGATATTGGCAATACGGTTATGATGGAGAGGACTTCATAATCTTTGACCTGAAGACAGAGACGTGGGTCGCTCCTGTACATGAGGCTGACAACACCAAAAAGAAGTGGGACCATGACTGGGCTCTGACTGGTCAGAAAAAGAACTACCTCACCCAGATTTGTCCTGAGTCACTGAAGAAGTATGTGACCTATGGGAGGAGCTCTCTGATGAGGACAGGTAAAATCTATGACCAGAATTAGATTGTTAACCAAAAGTTATATGTCTCAGTTTATTACTTAATATGATATTAAATTAACCTTTACATGCATGAATTATGAAAACCTCAATCAGGGCTTTTTTTTCTTGAGTATTTTTATTCATCTTAAGGCATGAAAAAAAGATTTTTCAACTTCATTTTTTTAAACGTACTTTTCATTTTCAAAGAGTATTTTTACATGTCTACTTAGTTGTACAACAAACATTTTGACTTATGAATTTGACAAATGAATAATTAATATACACTGTGTAAAAACTATAACATAACAAAAACATATTTTTAAATATATTTTATAACAGTATAACAATTTATGTAACAACTATAACAACTATAACCCTGCCTATGGAGTGACACATCAGTGTCCAATGTAGTGGTTTATGTGCAAGTTTACCATCAACACTGACACAAATACAAGAAAACAGCCTTTGAATAGTTTCCACTGTAGTGACCA